AGCTGATTGGTGGGGACTTTAGGCTCTTTTTGCAAGCAGAGCGTCCAGCCAGCGACAGCCCCTTTCCCCCCATCCTGAAAGATTGAAAGGGCCCTCCATCTGATCAGTGGGCCACATGCTCCCAGAAGCGGGGTAACCCCTGCCCGGATCAGGGGGCTGGCAACCCTCGCCACTTGGGTGGAATGTGTTAATACTGGATGACTTTAACTACCTTCACATTGACTGGGTAAATATGTACTTGAGTCATACTGTAGAAGCAAGGTTTTTAGATATCATAAATGACTGTGAATTGGAACAATTGGTCATGAAGACAACTAGAGGGGTGATGACCTTGGTTCTGAATGGGGCTGGAGGCCTGGTGCAAGAAGTACATGTTATTACACCAGTTGAGAACTACAGTTGACAGGTCCCCGATCACTCTGGCGAGGGGATTTGAGGGGTGTTCCGGGGTGGGCGGGGATGTCCCCAAGCCCCACCCCCAAGAGCGACCACCCAAGGCCACCACTCTCTCAACCCCTCTCTCTCCCCTCCTGCAAGTTTTAATGGACTTTAGCTGATTGGTGGGGACCTTAGGCTCTTTTTGCAAGCAGAGCGTGCAGCCAGCAACAGCCCCTCTCCCCCCATCCTGAAAGATTTAAAGGGCCCTCCAGCTGATCAGTGGGCCACATGCTCCCAGAAGTGGGGTAACCCCTGCCCGGATCTGGGGCTGGCAACCCTCGCCACTTGGGGCTTAGCTTTGCACACTAGACTTGGTTGAGAAGCAAGGAAGTCTAGTGGTTAAAAACTTACTTTCCAGCCCCTCAGAGAATGAGGAATGCCTTCCCTTCTGTGTAAGAGACTTTTCATTGGTCTAGGTTACCATCATCAAGAGTTGGAGGAAGGAATGAAGGCATCACCTGTCCTTCTTGAAATTATGACAATCTAAAGATGACTATGGTCAAATGAGTATCTTGATCTTCAGAAAAGGGGATCAGAATAAACGTAGAGAAATGCTTGGGGAGATTCCAGGTGGGGGCTGGAGATCTCCTGGAATTACAACAGAGATGAGTTCCCCTTAGGGTTGCCAGATGAAGGTTGGGAAACCCCTGGATATTTGAGGATGGAGCCTTGGGGGGTCAGGGACCTCAGTGTGGTAAAATGCCATAGAGTCCACTCTCCAAAGCAGCCTTTTTCTC